TGCAATCACTAAATGCACAAATTGAACAGGGACTTACATGGAAACTTTTCAGGTAACACAAGGCTGCAAGTTCACACGCATCTCTCCATCATGCCTCGCTGTTCTGTGCCATTTTCAGCAGGAAAGTTCCAGCATGTATGTAGAAATGTCCTTTCATTTCAAGGAAGGTACGAGACAGCTCATCAGGTCCATTCGCACACGGTCTCACAGAGTGAAGCACATGATCAAAACTGGAACATAGGAAAGATTCCTTTTCAACCAAGTCCTGGCCTCCCACTTATACTAGACCCCTATCACCGAGTCTTCTCTGAGGCCCGTAGCTCAGACACACAGCTTGGGGATCATGCCTAGCAACATTTTTTCTTTGCAATTAGTACAGAGGAACTCCTCTCCCATCCACAAAATGGCTAATCACTGAAAATGATGCCTGCTAGAAGTTCTGTGACCCAGAAAAAATATTCCATTTCTTTTTTTTTTTTTTTTTTTTTAAACAGAACAGTTAAAACAAAACCTTTCAAGGGCCCCTCTGCTTTCTTGAACATCTCTAGAAGCAAGCGTATTTTTAACCAAGCTAGAATAGGCCAGCAGATGATCCTTCTTGACAGCTCTCCAATTATTTTTATCAGACTCCAAGTCTCATACTGATTCAAGGTATTCCTAAAGAACAAAGTTCATTAGAGAATGAGGAACCACCATCCTTACATGAAGGCAAGAGGTTCTCCAGAGCACCTTGCTACACAATCCAGTTCCCCAGGTGAGACACTAACATATTTTTCAACTCTGGAAGGCTTAAGAAAATCCTAAGCAAATCATGGGTTTCAGCAGACGCTGCATTTGAAGGAGTTAAGCCACTTGAGAATTAGCTGTATCATTGTAACGATACTAAGAGAATAACACTAGTTTCAAGGACATGGCAGATTACGACAGGACCAAAACATGATTAAATACCTCGAACGTCTTTATGACGCACTAGCACCATTCCAAGCTGGAGCCTACAGGTATTTTCTTCTCCGCCTCCTGACAGTGAAGCGCAGCATCTCTTAATCTGTTATTTGAATGGTAGAGCGCAACCAGTCCGATGTTAAGGTAGGGATCGCCTGGTCTCGCACAGAGCTCGGTCTGAATCATATCACAGAGCTGATTCCAGCCATCTTTGCCTTGATGCTCCAGTAACTGCTCCTATCAAATACAAAGGCAACATGTTAAAATTGCATTCTCCACGAAAGCCTCTTCAGCAACTACATTACCTGACTGCTTTCTCACTGCCACTACTGACTACATTACTCAAACTGCTCTGCAAAGCTCAAAGGTGCTACAGAGAGTTTGGAAAGCATTTTAGAAGCGAGAAAAGAAAAAAAAAAAAACCAAAACTTTAGAGTTTGCATCTTGTAGATGCTAAGTTAGATGCTAAGTTGTCAAATTTGAACCAGGTGATTTGACTCAACATCAACAAGAACATCTCCTACACTTGACAGTTTTTAACTCAAATAAAAAAACCTAGAAAGCAGAGTAGTCACGTAACAGAGTGTATGGGAACTGCTGAATCACGGCCTGAACCTCTGATTAATCACCTGAGGCGAGCCACGAGTCAGCCAGAGGAGCACAGGTGAAGGCAATTCCTCCTAGACCTATTTAAGAGCTGGCTACCAGAGGGGAAGGGTCTCTTCTGGAGATCATCTCTCTTGGTGTTTTGTGGTGTGCTCTGCTGAAGGGTAAGCTCTTCCACCTATTCTCTTTTTGTGATCGTTGTCTACTTTGTCTAACTCTCTTGATTGTGTTGTGATTATAACATCTTGATATCTATTGATTATACACAGAGGCAATATCACCTATCTAATCTTGACCTCTTGGATACAATTACTACTACTGTTTTCCCATCACTTGATGCAACTGAAGTTTCTTCTAGGCACAGAACAGAGATCAGAAGCTGGAATTTACCTTCAATCTGTAAGCAGCAGGATTCCCAGGGAAGAGCCTGGCAGCTTTCTCAACGCAGTACTCTGCTCTTCCATCAGTGATGTCATTACTGCGCAGCAGCTCTGCAATCTTCAGCACAAGACCCACCGCCCAGCCCCACGAGGACCCGCGCTTCCTCGGCCCCTCGGCCCCGTACCCCCGTGTCACGTGACGCTCACCCCGGTCGCTGCGTGTCGCACCGGGTGACGTCACGCCTCTGCGCGCCCGTTACCTGGACTTGCCCTCGCGGAGGGCGGGCACCCCGCCTGACCCCATTCGTCCAATCGCCCCTCTGCCCAAGCTTTAAGTGACGGCCAGGGCAGCCAATTGCCTCCGCAGAG